AAAATCTCAACTTGGATCTTCTATGAATCTACAAAATGTGCTGTGCCTTGTTAAACTCACTAAAACAGACTGGACTAAGAGAAGCTACTTGTTATATTTCAGATAATACATGCTCCTACGAGCACAAATGGATGCTGGCTGGGTGTTGACAATAACAACAACAACATCTATAAAGCAACTTAGAATGTGTTAGGCTCAAACTACATTATTAAATCCTCACAAGAACCCTAAGATGAAGGTACCACCATTATTTCTTTTTTACAAATGAGGAACCTGCCCAAAGTAGTAGTTTGAAATGGTGGAGCCAGGATCTAAAGGCAGGGATTCTGAACACAGAGCCTGCCTTTGTAAACGACGTTATACTGCCCAGATATAAAGTCCCCAACAATTTCATAGAAGGTAGAAAGTCAAAGTTCATGAGGCGAGTTACCTGCTGGATTCCAGCAAAATCTTTATTCAACTCTTCCAGTTGGTTAGCTATCTTCTCCACAGCTTTCTCCAAATCTTTCAACTTCTTTAATTCAACCTGTTCTTCTAGACTGTTCTAAAATGTTTAAGAATAAAATGAAGTCAATAATTACCAAGAACAGTATGCTATCAGGAAAAATTCTGATCACAATTGGGCTAAATCATTCTCCTAGAAAGAATAGTCTCAGCTCTGCTGCTTTTTGGAAAAGCAAGCCTGGGGGGTCATACACTAAGGTTTTCTATCTAGAAAGACTGCAGACTAGAGAGGAGGCATCAGGTACACATGCTGGTGAGGGCCCTGATAGCTTGGGTTCTGAGAATGGAGCCAATCCAAGTGCCAGATTCAGCCTCAGCCTGGGGCTGATCACCAACAACCAGACTGAAGCTTAGAAGGTGAACAAATTACAGTGAACACCTGTGATGATTCCAGAATAGTAAGATGGACAGAATTCTACTATTCTTCTAAACTGAGTTCTGAAATGTCATCCTCCAACCGAGCTCTCTCATTTTACACAATGATGATAATGATAAACACTCTCATCAAGCACTCCCTATATGCCAGGCAGAGCCCTGGTGGCACAGTGTTTTAAGAGCGTGGCTGCTAACCAAAAGGTCAGCAGTTTGAATCTACCAGCCACTCCTTAGAAACCTTATGGGGCAGTTCTACTCTGTCCTATAGTCACTATGAGTTGGAATCGACCCAACGGCAAAGGGTATATGCCAGGTACTATCCTAAACACATTACCTGTATCGTTTTTTTTAAGCCTTACCACAACCTTATAAGGGAAGTACTGTTTTATACACGATGAAACCAAGATGTAGTGAAGTAACCTAAGGTCACACAGCACAAAAGAGGTGGAGCTCTTGAGAATTCAGACTTGCCTCTACACATCCCAGGAGAGCTCCAACTGGGGACTTATAGCTTTCTTCAAACTCAACCCCTGGGTTCTGCTCATTGTCCATCACATTCTGTGACCTTTAAGCAAAAAATCTAGAACATTTTCCCCTCTCTCACCTAGATAATTGATAGCCAGGGCTAGAAGTTTCATGCTTTATTACACTATCTCAAATGGTTCACTCCTTTTTATGGCCGAATCTGGAGTCCCAGTCCCCTGGTAGTTTCAAGTCTGGACTACATTTTCTTTGCTCTCACTTTGCTGATCTCTGCCCTCTCCCCACTCAGAGCTAACCAGCTCACTCAAAATAAGGGGACCTCATATGACCAACAATTCCACTGTGTCACAATGCCCCCTCTTTCATTACCTCAGGAGCTACTGCCTTCAGCTGTCACCAACCGACCTCACTCAACTGTTGGCTCTTTTTCTCCTTTAGTTCTTTAGTCTGAAGCTTCCCTGGCCAAAGAGGGTTTTCCCCTTGTGGGAGATTAGTAAAAAGGGTAGTTAAAGGGAGAAAGGCTCGTAAAACTTGCACCTCAACCAAAATTCATTGCTGTCTAGTCGATTCTGACTCATAGCAACCCTACAGGACAGAGTAGAACTGTCCCACAGGGTTTCCAAGGCTGTAAATCTTTATGGAAGCAGACTGCCACATGTTTCTCCTGCAGTGCGGCTGGTGGGTTTGAACCGCCAACCTTTCAGCAGCTGAGCGCTTTAACCACTGCACCATCAGAAACAAAAAACAAAAACCAAACCCGCTGCTGTCAAGTCAATTCTGACGCATAGCAACCCTATAGGACAGAGTAGAACTGCCCCAGAGCGTCTCCAAGGAGCAGCTGGTGGATTCGAACTGCCGACCTTTTGGTTGGTTAGCAGTTATAGCTCTTAACCACTGCGCCACTGCATCATCAGGGCTCCTTGAAACTTGCACAGGGTACTTACTTTTAAAATCTATAGGTTTATTTTCACAAAATACTCTTTTGCCAATCCCATTCCAAGTGAGTAAGCCCTGTCTCGGGCAACATTTTTTAACCAGACTGAGATTCTATCACCAAGACAAAAGGCACTTTATAGGGTCAGCACTACCACTCCTAATTCACAGAGTGATAGCCCCAACCAACAGGAGCAGAAGCATGGGCTGGTAGGTAAAAGGAAAAACTGGTAACCTCACTGAACAAATGCATTTGTTTAGAGGAGTTTCACCAATGCAGAAAGCACACCCTCAATTTGGCCTTTTAAACAGAAGCACGTATGAAAGACCTCAGTCATTTGATTCTGAGGAATTCTGGTAGAAAAAGCAATTTACCTTTTTCCCAATTAACATGACCCGGCAACCATTTTGTATTCCAAGTGCTGACAATGGCTGCTCCATTTCCTTCAGAGATTTTCCTGAAAGAGGAAGAAAGGTATGCTGAGTTGTAACAATTGCACAATCATCACTGAAACATTTCAGCAAGTGTAGAAGAAACAGACAAATGTGTTCACTAATGAAAAGATGACAAATTGATATAACTTTCTTAGAAGCTGTCTTGACCCAGTAACTTCACTTCTAGATAGTTATCCTAAACAAACTGGACATGTGCCTACACTATAACTATTATACAATAATATTTAGTGCAACCTTATTCATAATAATGAGAAATTGGAAATACGCCAAATATTCAGGAATAGGGGACTATCATACACTATGATACATCCACACAATAAAATACTTTGTAGGCATTAAAATTCATTTTTTCAGGTAACTTCAATGCCGTGGTGAATGTTGATCCAATTATTATAAGAAAAAATGTTATAAAAACTCTATAATCCAGTGCTTGCTTCGGCAGCACATATACTTAAATTGGAACAATAGAGATTAACATTGTCCATGAGCAAGGATAACACGCAAATTTGTGAAGCATTCCATATTTTTAAAATGTAATTGGTGTCACTGAATTGCACACATGAAAAATGTTGAATTGGCAAATGTTGTGTCCATGTTTTTATCATAATAAAAATAAATAAATAAAGTTGTCCCCTGCAAAATGTTAAATACCTATTAGTGAAGGAAATCCATGTTGCAGAGCTAACTAACCCTTGCACACTGCAGTGGAGAAATACATTGAACCCTGTGAAACTCAATTTTCAGGAAGAGGCAAAGAAAAAGCAAAATTGCTGATGAACAAGCCACTCTTGAGAAAGTGCTGGTTCCTGTAACACAGTAAGAAATATTTTAGCCAATAAAGTTAAATTATTGGCATAAATAAATAAAAAAAAAAAAGGCAGGGGACAAGATATACTTAATAAGAGGAAAGAACGTATGACTCACTAAGGCATCAAAGGATAAAGGATTACAAAGCAAAACAACAAAAATCTCTACAATCCATATGATCCCAATTTTGTCAAGAAAACAAAAATAAAATAAAATGTGACTGGAAAGAAATATACTAAAATGTTATTAAGAGGTTTTATCTAGGGGAACATTTTCTTCTTCGTGCGTTCCTCTATTTTGAAACATGACCTTCTATTGCCTTTATAAAAGTATTTTTAAAAAGATAAGGAGTTGCACTGTAAAGTATAAAAAATGCTTCCTATCACTAAATTCTTATAATGGCTGGTACCAAATGGGATTAATCTGCCTCCATCAGATACCAGATTAAGGGGATCTCATGGGAGTGGGAAGGTGGACAGGGGTAGGGGGGTAGGTCTCAGCAGAAATCAGCATCATCCACTGAGCTTGCCACATCCAGACCTCTGGTAAGTTCATTCAACACCTTGTCTGTATTAGCACTGTGCTAAGCACTGGAAAACATAGCAGTATCTCTGCCCTCATGGAGTCTGTTATTCTAGCAGAGAAAGCAGATGTTAAGAAACTAAGAAAACAATTCTTTAACAGTAATTTCAGTACATGCTATGCAGAAGTGGTAGAGGGTGCCATGTGATCATATAATGGGAAACAGATGTAATCTTGCCAGGAAAGACTGCCCATGAGCTTCACCAAAAATAGTGAGATTTCTGCTACCATCATGTGACTTCAAATCTAATACCTGTCCAAATGTTTGAAAATGTCTAGTACATAGTAAGTCCTCAATAAATATTTGTTGGAAGAATGAATGAATAAATATACAAATAAGAATAATCTGTCCCAGTATGAAAACTGAGTTGCCATTAGGTGAGGTTAAGTGGTTTTAAATCTGCCCTTTAGTCATAAGGGCTCAAAGTTGGAAGAGAAATACCTACCCTTAAATATGAGTTTCTGAAAAGCCACTGGAACCCCTGTGGCCTCTTCAACAAGCTGGGCCAGGTCTTGGACAACTGGTTCACTAGTGCCCTGCTGCAGGGTAACATAAAGGTTGTGCTTCTCATTGTCTGGGGAGAAAGAAAAGCATTCAGCGAAGATGACTCGGCCATGTAAAACAATATAGGCTGATGCTTTATTACATTTATTACCCAGTCTTAGCTCATATGCCACCTACTATAAAGAGACTGTCCCCATCTGCCTGGTTTTCCTCTGGTGACCTGCTCAAGGACTTTTGTTTCCTTTATAATAATTTTACCAGTTCGATTCATGGCGACATCTTGTGTCAGAGTAGAACCATGCTCCACAGTTTTCAGTGGCTGATTTTTCAGAAGATCACCAGGCTTTTTTTCTGAGGTGCCTCTAGATGGACTAAATCTCTAACCTTTTGGGTAGCAGCTGAGCATATTAACCGTTTATACCACTCAGGGACTTACTATTATTATTATAATTAACAATAACAATGTTAACGGCTAACATTGAATATTTATCAAATGCATTTGAAAAAAAAATCATTGCTGTCAAGTCGACTCCAACTCATAGCAACCCTACAGGACAGAATAGAACCGCCCCATAGGGTTTCCAAGGTTGTTAATCTTTAAGGAAGCAGACTACCATATCTTTCTCCTGCGGAGCAGCTGGTGAGTTCAAACCACCAATCTTCCTGGTAGCAGTCCAGTGATTAACCAATGGGACACCAGGGCTCCTTATCAAATGCAAAGGGGGCTATAATAGGCTCATTTCATGTACATACTATCTTATTAATCCTCAGGACAACTCCATGAAGTAGGTACTACTATTCCCTATTTCACAGATAAGCATTGTTTCAGGCCACTTAAGGACCCACCTGTGGAGACCCAACCAACAGCTGGTGGAGTCAGAACTTGACCTCAGGTCTATCTGATCGCAAAGCCCATGCTTTTCATCACAAGCCATTCAGCCTGACTGCCTTGCACCCTGTACTATACTGGTCTTACCTCCCTCACAGTAATGGGCAAGGGACTGTCTTCCAAGTCTCTCCCATGGGGCACACCTGGCACTTGGTTGGTGCTCAGTAAATAAATGAATGAATAAACTCAAACAACAGAGAATTCTCCTCGGAACAGAAGTGCCAACTCTTTTCCAGGAATGTAGACAGTACGGAAGTAGCCTGTGTGCAGTGCACGGGGGGGGGCCAGCGTGAGTTACCAACTCTACCTCACAGAGAAGAAAGGAGACACCCCAAGGTCATTCAAAACTGCAGAATCTAGAGACCCAGTCTCTAGATTCTGAGGCCCTAGGGTTCTGTGTCAACTCCAAGAGTATCCAAAGAGTGCCCAGAGTGTATGCTCGGGCCCACGGGCCCCACAACACACTTCGGACATGCAGCTAGCTTCTGGCACAAAGGCAGCACTCACTAAATAATGAACACCCCGCCAGGCACGATGTCCACACCCATTGCACATATAGGTGTCCAGACACACAGCAATGATACACAAGATGGCCAAATACAAGACTGACATACACACCCACAATGGCTGTGCAGGCACACACCAACACACACAACTAGGTCCACGACGTGCAGCATGGACACACTTGAAACACAGAGGATCAGACATGTGGCCAGAGACAGAATACATACACTGGCCACATGGAAAGAAGTTCAGACACAAGACACAGACAAAAGCCGGCCACATGGCCACAGCCAAGAACCTACACTTCGGATGCCAGGACAAACACAAGGACACACGCTTCCGGACACCAGGACAAAAACAAGCACATACGCTTCTGCAGGACCAAACCCACAAACCGGGCCGGCCCCTCAGAGCCCGGTCCGGCGCCCACCCGGTGCTCACTGTGGGAGACGGTCACGTTGAGCCCGGTCGCCGCCATTTCCTCGCTCTGGGCCACTTCCTCACTCCGGGTCATCTCCTCGCTCCGGGCCATCTCCTCGCTCTGGGCCATCTCCTCGGTCCGGGCCACCTCCTCCCTCTGGGCCATCTCCTCGCTCCGGGCAACGCGGAACTGTATTTTCTTCTTCATCCGCGGCCTGCGAGCGCCGGCGGCGGGGCCCCTGGTGGATCGGTCATGTCCGCTGGCCTTGCTCGGGACGGACGGACGCTGAGACCGGGGCGGCTTGTGGTGTGCCGGGGTTTCGGCCTGGTGCGGCTCCCCGCCCGGCCGAAGGGCGCGCGTCCGGTGACCCGGCCGCTCCCCGTGGCCTCGCGGTCTCCGCGCGCCGCCGCGTTCCGCCAGGCCAGCGCTTGCTGACCGCCCAGCCGCCGGAGATGATACCAGCGTCTCCCAACCCAGCCCGGCGGATTCCCGACCCCGCCCCGGCCTGCTGGCCTCGCCCCCGGGGCAGTCCCCCCTCCTGCCCCGCCCTATTCCGCTAAAGCCTCCTTCAGGCCCCACCCATTCAAACCGAGGCCCCACCTTGCTCAACTGAAGCCCCGCCCCACCCATGTTCCCAAGGCCCCTCCCACCGCCGACTC